ATTATGAAATAAAAAATTTAAAGACGGTAATTTGTAAGGACCAGACCAAAAATCATATTACATAATATTACAAATCATAAATACAACGTAAACAATTTTTTGAGTGTACACCCTTCATTTTTTCCGCGCTTTCAAAATTTAATAGCGGAAAGACTGACAAATGCCGTCTAAAAGGGGGAACAAAAATTTTTGTGTCTTAATATAAAACATCTAAAAATATTGATTTTTAACAAAAAGACATACAAATTCCAAACAAAAGGTTAATATTTCCAAACGCTGACACCGACAAAATGGGAAAAATTTCCCCAAAACCCCTGTTGATAAATAATTTTAATCGGCAAAATATCAAAGATTAAATTTCTGCTTTATAGCACCGTTTCTATCTTGTGTGGATATTTTTTCTCAACAACAGTTTCCCTTGGGGGGAAAAAGGGTGGAGACAAATAAAAGATCAAAAAACAAAAAAAATTCGGGGATCCCCGAAGGAGTATTTATGATGGTTGCCCGAATGTGTTTTCTTTTCCCCTGTTTTCGTTGATAACTTATGAAAAACTTCATGTGATCACTTCGATTTCCAGTTTTGTCAACTTAACTAGGGAAAGGGGTAAAGAAAAAAAGGCACAATACCGTGACCGGAACAATTCAAACCCGTATTGGACTGATGAACCCCTTGTGGCGAAACGTTTCTTTAATAAAGATTCCGAGTTGCATAAGTTGTCAATCTTCACTTGTCGGTTTTAATAATTTTTCACAATTGATAAGGAAGGGAAAAGCGAAGACGACGTTTCGGGCTGACTTCGCCATATTATTTTTAATAAAAGGGGACGCTAAACCCGAGGATTATAACAGAAAACCCGGCTCAATCTGAAAGATGAGAGATGCCCTCTGAATGTCACATACAAGGCTTAAATTTTTCCACACTGACAGGTCCCAACAGAAAGGTGGGGAGTACGATGTTGCAGAGAAAATTTAAATTTTGTTTTTAGACAAAAATTAAAAAAGAAACGTCAGCCATGAATCTGTTTTGGGTTTCAGCTTCTCGAGGCCGAGAAAAAAATAATTTTTTGGGTGTGTTTCAGGGCCCCAAATCTTGATAGGGAGTGCAGTAAACTTTAGGGGACGAAATTGAAAGGGGCATCTACATACGAAAATGTTTGCTAATGGGAGTTTTCAATATAGACAGATTGACTGGAGCAATTTGACAGGAAATTTAGAGTCGGGTGACTTTCTTGATACGATCCAGGATTTTTTTTTAAAAACAGTTTGTGACAGAGCCAACTGGGGGAAAAATAACCTCCTTAAACTTGGTTTTGCCAGTAGGGAAACACTAATTAATAATCTTGAGGTTAATGATGAGCTTGGGGAGAGTGATCACAAATCACTCAGTTTTAACATATCATGGAATTCCCCTAATAATGGCAATCAAGCTCCGTCCCTGACTTTCGCTTGGCTGATTTCATGGGACTGAAAAATTACTTAGGTGGGCTGAACTGGAATGACCTGACTAGGGGTCAGGTAGGTGGTGATGGTTGCCGATATGATGCTTTCCAGGGCATAGTTCTAGTGCTCAGTCAAATTATGTTCCAAATAGGGAAATCAGATCAAACAAAAATGTTTCCTAAATGGATGAACAATAGATTAAAATATCTGATTGGGTCAAAAGAGGGGCCATATAAGGCAAATCAAAAGAGGAGAGGGGCAATTAAGAAATCGATATATTCAGTTAAAGAGAGAAATAAAAAAGGGAATTAGAAAAGCAAAAAGAGATTATGGGGGTTAAAGTTGCAAGAGAATCGAAGACTAACCCAAAAGGATTTTTCAGGTAACAAAAGTAAGATCAGGGACAAGATAGGCCCACTCAAAAGTTCCTCGGGTCAGCTCACTAAACAGTGATAAGGAAATGTGTAGAATTTTTAACACAAAACTTCCTCTCAGTTTTTACACAGGAGGATACCAGTGATATTCCAGTAATGAAAAAATTATGTAAAAGGACGATATAAACTGTGCCTATTAGGGTCACAAGTGACATGTCCTAGGCAAATAGATAAATTAAAACCTACAATCCCCCGGCCCTGATGAACTGTATGCAGGGTTCTAAGGAATGTAAAGAGGAGTTAGCACACCTTTGGCTAATCTTTTCAAAAATATCACTACAAACTGGCATGGTGCCAGATAAGTGGAAAATGGCAAATGTGATACCTATTTTCAAAACAGGTGACAGGGCTTAGCTTCGAACTATAGACCAATAAGGCCCAACCTCCATAGTGGGAAAATTTATGGAATCAATAATTGCCGGAGGCAGTTCGTAGCCACCTTGAAAAGCATAAATTAATCAACGAATCTCAGCATGGTTTTTCAAAGGGGACGTTCCTGCCTTACGAATTTATTAACTTTTTTCACTAAGGTATTTGAGGAGGTAGATCATGGGTAACGAAAATGATATTGTGTATATGGACTTCAGTAAGGGCTTTTGACAGGGTCCACATCAGAGACTATTGAGGAAAATTAAAGCACATGGAATAGGAGGAGAAATTTTTTCCTGGATAGAGGCATGGTTGACAAATAGGCAGCAGAGGTTTGCATAAAGGGGGAGAAATCAGAGTGGGGAACGTCACGACGGTGTTTCCACGGGGTCATGTTGGGCCCCTGCTGTTCACAATCTAATAAACGAATAGTAGGGATAAGAGCGACATCGGCAATTTTCCCATGACCCCAAAAAAGGGCCCGTCGAAACTTCTGACGGGGAATTCGACCCCCGGAAGATTTAATAGACTGATGCAGTGGGCGGAAAGGGGCAGATCCGTTTATATAGACAAATGCAAATTTCTAAATGTGGACAGGACAAAAACCACCCACATAAAACTAAAAAATGTAGATCTTAAATTACGGATTGCGAAAAAGATTTGGGAGTTCGGGTTTTAGCAGTAATCTGAACCAAAGAAAAAGGCATAAGTGTTCGAATAAAGCTAAAAATCCTTGGCTTCATATCAAAAGCATAAATAATGGGAGTCCTCAGGTTTTCTTCAACTTATACATCCTTGTTAGCCTCATTTTAGATTATCTCACAGTTTTGGCCCCTATTACAGAAGGGATAAAAATTTTTGGGAAATGTAAAAGGGGGATGACAAAGATGATCCCATGTATCAAAACCCCCCTTGAGGATAGAAAAGGGGCCCTGAAATCACCTCTAAAAAGACGTAGAATTGGGGGGGATATTTTGAGGTTATAATTTGAAGACGGGAATAAATAAAGGGATGTAAATAGTGTGCTGAAATATCTAGCCTAGAAAAAACCCCTGAAAAAGGGTTTTTTAATTTTGGAAAAATTCAGATTCGGAGGGATATAGGGAAAGACGGGTTTGGAAATGATTTGTGGATGAGGGAACAAACTCCCAAGTACCGTTATGGGCCAAACGTTTGTGTAGCTTTAAAATAGGGGATAAATACTGGTAGTGTGGGGGGTGAGTAGACCGATAGCTTGTTAACGGGGCGGTTGCCGTGTTTCCCCTTGAGTCAATGTGACCTGACCCGACTAGGTTGGGGATTGGGTTAAGCCGGTAGGGACTTGGGGCCTGCCTCGCATGGGCCAGTAGGCCTTTGCAGTGTTTCCCCGTTTTTATGTTTTTATGATTTTACGCGCCTCTGACTTCGACCAGGGGGCTTAAATGGGCCAAGTCGGACCGAAACGTCGTCATAGCTTTTGTCCCCTGTGGGGTTATTTATGAAATGGGAAAGAGTTCCTGTAATTATTGGCTTCCGGCCAATCTCGCATAGACTATTGTATCTTTATTTACTACAAGCACATGTACAAGGTATACAGGCCTAGCTGACATCAATACCTACTACCATATAGAAAGCCGCTTGTTATGCAGAGCATTTCGGGCAAATTAGGTCAATTTTGTCCCAGGATGCGACCCACACCAGTCGACTAATTCCCAGGTACCCATTTTACTCATGGGTGAGCATAGACAACCAGTGTAAAGAAACATGCCCAATGTTTCTACCCTCGCTGGGAATCGAACCCAGACACTCGCCGTGTGAAGCGAGAGCTTTAGCCACCAGGCCACGGGGCACCCAGTTTTAGTTTCCATACAATAACTTTAGAGGAACTCTTTTGATCTCACCCTACTTAGAAGTAGAGTGAGATCGTTACTGGATAGTCTAGGGATCAATCTGCCAATTTCATTCTTAAAAACAGTGTTTTATTACGTGAAATATTTTGGCTAGGTCTCATTTGGTTTCAGTTGCTCATAGCTGATGCATCTATAAGTTTAGGCTATGCAGGTGTAAATTTGTCAATATCCAATGATTCCATTCCTGAGCAGCCGTTGATAAGTTGGGGTCACAGTCTAGCCTCTCAGGTTTCAGTAAACGCTCCATGTTGTGATGTAGTCTAGCGCAGGATCACCACCGGGTAGCCCAGGATTCTATGTTCAATAAATTGTTGTGATAGAAACACAGGCCTTATCTCTAGGCTTTATTGAACATAGAATCTTCATAGTACTTCTGCAACAAAATATAATGACTAGTACATCTAATAACTGCTTCTACAGGGAGGGTGATGTCTTGCATATGTCAAGAGAAAAGTCATAACTACAGGCCACATATTTAATCTCACCATGTAATCTGCATCACTAATATATGGATATAAAAGAGAATCACACACCATGTGTTGGTGCCCATGACACACACCAAGCTGTTGTTGTTGTTAAGGGCCCCGAGAGGTGGTGCAGTATTATCCTGCTGCTGCTCCCCACAGGAGCAGTATCACTACAGCATATAAGGGAGAGATTACACTTCACGGTCAACATACAACACCTGAACCTTTTATGATGGTGCGGGTGAGGTGGTCAATGCACATATACATAAGCACACCAAGATGTATACATACGAATATACTCAGGGACACATATGCATGAGTTAAAGAACACCTGCATTGAAAATCTGAAGCTGATTGGATAAGGCGTTTTCAAGTTACAAACAGAAACTTAAAATAAAAAAAAGTTTCGACCACCTAAAAGTACTTCAATGATACATAATGAAATTTTATACATGTTAGTGAAATATAGATTTACCACAAAAAAAGAAATAGTTTCTTTTAGGAACTATGTACATTAGCAAGAGACAGTGTGAATGTTTGTGTAATAGGGCAGCTGAGAGAATTAATTTATTTAAGCCTCAGCTCTGGTGATCATGGTCAGCATCGGTAGGAAGTTGGTGAGCAGCCTCGTAGAAGTCCAGTTCATCTTCATCCTCAGGAAGGTTGGATTCTGTACCATCAAGCTATGGAGAAAATTACAGGTAAATATCAATTACATAATCTTGTTTATTACTTAGCCTAGACGTTCCACACACACACACACCCACAGGCACAGACAAGGGGACGGTAAGAAACAAAGGAGATATGCCGTATTCGAAGGCCCTATCAGACCCACGTGGGGCAAGGGAAGAGACGAGGAGCATACTAAGATCAAATGACAGGTCCGAAGACAATGAAGGTATGTTATATGCAAAGACTCTAACAGCCAACTGCAGTAGCAAGGAACAGCTGATCATGAAAGACAGTTCCCTGAGAATAGAAGTTTCAGATAGGACAGGGACGGAAGGCAGAACATTTCAATGGAAGGAAACAAAAACCCTCAGAGGATGCAAGGGGGACAACTTCGAAGAAATAAAACAGAAGAGGAAAAAATGATTGAAGGCATCATGAAAACAATAGGTGAGGATGATATGACCCAGGCGACAAATTTTCGGAGAATTGGGGGGTTTGCGAGTGGAAGGATACTGCCTGTCAAAGTAATTTTCAAGAAAGGATCAGTTCGAACCAGGATTCTGCAAGAGAAAGCACGACTGAGGGACAAACAGGGGTACCAGAGAGTATACCTCGATCGCGACAGAACACAAGAATGAAGGACTACACTGAAAGAGAGGGTACAGAGACGCAAGGAGGAACGAGAGGCAATGATGAAGATGAGCAGGACCCAGACACAGGAGGAAGGGCAAACACACCCTGCAGAATCTCCCACCAAAAGACTCCGACCGTGACAATCCAAACGCAACTGAGCAACCCAAACCACAACCCACTCATTGTTCCCTCTTCCAGCAACACCCACATCACAAACCTCATCTCAATAGCTGTCCCTTATGGGTATTCTGACCCCACCCCCATCATCACAAACCCCACCTACACCATAGCCCCCCACAGGCCCCCACCAAGGCTCCTGCTTCCCCAACCCCAATATTCTTGCAGGACCACAGCAATAGAAAAGAAGCTGAAAGTTTGGTACACAAACGCGGACGGAATAATAAACATGAGGAGTGGCACGAAAGAACCAGTGAGAAATCCCCAGACATCATAGCAGTCACAGAAACAAAACTCGCTGAGACAATAACAGACACAATCTTCCCACCGGGATATCAGATCCTGAGAAAACATAGGAGTAGAGGGGGAGAAGTTGCACTGCTCATAAGAAACCGATGGGGATTTGAGGAAATGGAAGGCATGGACGTGATTGGAGAAAGAGATTACATAGTAGGTAAAATTCAGTCGGGAAAAAAACATAAAGTAGTCATTGGGGTGTTTGTATAACCCCCCACAGAACTGCAGGGGGCCAAGAGGGAGTAGGAAAAAAAACAAAAGGGCGATGGTGGGACACCGGGCTGAGGTGGAAAGAAGAGCTCACTCGAGCAGAGCAAAGTTACTGGTAATGGGCGATTTCAACCACAGGGAGTTTCGGGGGGGAAAAACCCTGGAGCCACAGGGGGGTCCCGAAACATGGAGGCCAAGATGATGGATGTGGTACTTAAAAAACCTCATGCACCCAACCAGTCAGGGACCTACCAGAGAGAGAGGGGGGGACGACCCCAGAAAGGACTGGTTTCTTGTGTTCACCCTGGGGCAGTTTGGACTTTGGGGCATCATTAAACGGAGGCCCCTTGGAGCTAGCGATCAGGGGTTCTGAGTTTTGATTATATAGTAGGTTACGGGGAGAAGGAAACGGGGAATGAAGGGGGAAAACCCAAAAACTAAAAAAGGGGGGGACTAAAAGGTTGAGGAATTTCCCTGCGGAGGTTCATTGGGACAGAGCCCTGGTGGGAAAAATCAAAAACGGATGAGGAATATGTAGCAACACAGTGCAAGGGCAGGGAAAGGTTTTTTCCCCGGGGAAAAAGAAAAAATAGGAAGCCCAAAGCGGTCCTCCCCCAAAAGGTGTAGGGAGGAAAAAAAACAAAGTGCACCAGGGGAAGGGAAAAAAAAGGTTAAAAAGGGGAAAAGAACCCGGAAAATAAGGAGTTTAGTAGAAGACCCAAAAAAAACGAGTACCACGTTTAGGAGGGGGGGCCCAGCGACAGTACAAAACGACTAGCATCAAAAGTCAAGTCTGCCCCGAACTGTTTGTTACCCAAACATTAGGGGGAAAGGGAAAACCAGTCAAAGCCAGGTGATAAGGCTGGGGGAAAAAGAAGGTGGAGAACTCACAAAAAACGATAAAGGGGTAGGGTAAAGGAAAGTTCAACAGGGAGTTTTAAAGGGGAAGTTTTTTAAAAAGTGGAAAAGGGGTCCCCTCTCGGGGGGACGGGACCAGAGGGGAAACCAGAAAAGGGAAATTTTCCCAACAAGTTTTGGGATGACATAAAATACAGATGGGAAGGGTAAAACTGCTAAGGGGACATCGATCCCTAAAAGGCAATGGGCCCGGGGACATCTCCCCGTGGGTCCTTAGAGAGGGAGCGGATATTTTGGTGGGTGCCACTTACCAAAAATCTTCAACCGCCCCTGGAAAGGGGCAACAAACCTGAGGTAGGGAAAAAGGGGGGGCCAAATGTATTTTTTTTCCCATTTTTAAAAAAGGGGGACAGAAAAAAGGGCACAAACTAAAGCCTGTGCCCACGGCTTTGTTAGTATGTAAAGTTTGGAGAAGTTTATCGGGGAGAGGGTGGAGCACCGGGAAAGGAAAAGGTTTAAACCCCCAACCCAGAATGGTTTCCATGAAGGAAATCCTTTTACCCAAAAAACCCTTCTGGGGGTTTTAAATGATAAAGAACAAAAGTAAGCATGAGAGAAAAGGGGTGGGTTGATTGCATCTTTTGGACTGCAAAAAAGGCCCTTTGACACGTTCCTCCAAGGATTAGTGCAGAAGCTAGGGACACCCTAAATAAAACGGGAAGGGCACTGAATGGATCAGAGAATACCTGACGGGAGGCAAAAAACGAGTAAATGGTACGTAATGAGGGTATCACAAGGGGGGGCCCCTGTGACGAGGGGGGTCCCACGGGGGGGAGGTCCTGGGACCAGTGCTTTTTTTGGGTTATTTTAACGACATGAGGGAAAAGGGTTTAAAGAATCAAAAAGTGCCCCTGTTGCGGGACGATGTGAATTTAATGGGGGAAAATTTAAAAATCAGATAGGCCCGGGCGGATTTTCAAAGAGCCCTGGACAGACGGGAAACCCCTTTGGTCCAGCAACTGGCTTCTCAAATTTTAAACCCCCGCCAAATGAAAAGTCATAAAGGGTGGGGGAAGGGGGCAAAAAAGCCCGCAGACAGAGTTTTAGGCAAGGGGGCCCAAAGACTGCAAACCTCGCTCAAGGGGGAAAGATATGGAGTGAGTTAAACCCGAGCATGTCCCCGGGAAAAGCACACAACCAGGAAAAATGTGCAGCTTTTTGGGGCCCCTTTGGCAAACCTGGAAACGGGTTTCCCGTTCCCCTTAAAAAGGGAAACGTTAAAGGGACACTGTACATCGTGTACGTCGGGCCCCTTACTGGAGTTTGAAAGCCCCTTTTTGGAAAACCCGCACTTGATAAAGAACGTAAAGAAACTAGGAAGTGCAAAGGTTTGCAAAAAGGTTAGTTCCAGAGTTAAGGGGAATGTTTTTTGGGAAAAAAGGTTTTAAGGGGAAAAGGGCCCTAAAGAAAATAGAGGAAGGAGGGTCAGGGGAGCCATGATAACGCATAAAAAAATACTGCGGGGAATAGAAAAGGTGGACAAAGACGGGGAATCTTCCAGGGAGGGGAAAAGAAAAAGAGGTCAAAATTTGGGAAAATTTAAAAGACGCAGATGATTTCAGAGAGATTTTAGGGAAGTTTTTCTTCAGTCTTTGAGTTGTGGGCATTTTGGAATACCCTAAAAAGTGTGTGGTAAGGGCAGGGAACCATAATTTTTTAAAGACGAGGAAATGAAAAAGCTCATGTGAGGGGGGGAGGGGGAGAAAAACCAGCGAACCGGTGAAGGGGGGTGGGGCCAGGAGTTTAGACTCGCCCCCTGAAAACCAAAAATTAGGTGAGTAAACACCACACCCCAACACCCACATCTTTTCGGCTTTTTACCAAATTTCAAGCAAGGAGTTTTAACCCAAAGAAAAGAAATTTTTTTTTGGGTTTTGCACTAAAAAATATACAACAGACCCCAAAAAAATAATAAATTTTCCCAAGTGCTCCCAATGTTAAAAGGAATTATCGAAAAGGGTTATTTAGAATATTCAGAAAAAAAACCGAAGACTGCACATGGCAATAGACAAATCGGGAATTTCCTTTTTTTAACAGTAAAGTATGAGCTCTGGACAAAATTTTTAAGGTAAATTTAAAATAGTTACGACTGAGCTCCCCTTTTTTTTTGAAAATTTTAAAGGGAAAAATTCAGAGCCGGGGAGGGATGGTAGGATTTAGGCCCCGAAGGGTAGAGCGAGAGAGGTGGGAGATGTTTCACGGCCCATAAAATGCCCAGCATCCCCCAATTTTGCCCAAAAAGTGAACAAGTGCATCTTTAGTGGGCGAAAACCCGCAAAGAAAAACCCCGAGGGGCCCCGAAAATTCTCCCAAAAAAAGGAAAGGGAATGATGGGGTTTATGACAGAAATTTTTAAAAACAAGGGGGGAAATTTTAGTGTTGGAGTGGTTGGGTTTCTGTTGTTTTTTAAATGTATGAAAAAGGGGGAAGGTACCTAGGGGTTGGGGGAGAAGCAGGGATAAAACCCTTTTATAAAAAGGGGGGGGGGACAAAAGGGATTGTAAAAATTATAGAGGGAAAAAGTTTACTGATAAACCCGGAAAAAAATATAAAGGGTTTGGGGTTTTAATTGAAAGAATTAGAGGTAAAAACGAATGTAGGATTGCGGATGGGAGGGAGGCTTCAAAGGGGGTAGGGGTGTGTTGAACAAGTGTTTACATTGAAGCTATATGTGAACAGTATTTAAAATAAAGGAGGGAAGTTTTTATCGCATTTATGGGGTTTAGAAAAGGGATATGATAGAGTGGATTGAGGAGAAAAAGTGGCTGGGGTTTTT